TTTATCTAAAAAACAAAAAGAGGGTTTTTTTTTTTTTTCTGCCCCCCTCAAATAGAAAGGTTTTGAATTTTTTTTTTTTTTTTTTTTTTTACCTCATTTGTCTGTCTGTGTTTAAAACCCTGTTAGTCATGCAACGCTTCAAACCGGTCACTTCGAGTGGCATCAAGTTTGAAGCGTTTTAAATGTTTTGTCGGTTGATGAATCCAATGTGTCGGGCTGGGGGTGGGACCTCGTCACCTGTCGGCATGACGACTCCGCCCACTCATCGGTGACCTCTCCGTCTTTTCTCCCACTCTACTGCAGGGACTCGTGGCCCTTCAGGCCCTCTTTAAAACTGCACCCTTCACGCAGGTAACCCCTTTGTGGCCTATCTGCCCACGCATCATCATCCTCGCCTTAGGCTGCTCGGCGCTCACTTAGACACTTGCAGAACTCTTTCTGTCTCGTGCATCTTTGCACATTTTGTCACATTGCAGCGACAAACTTAATTTTTTTAGATTTTGGGTGGCAGGAAAATGGCTGGCCTGGCCACACCATTGATCCACCTGCTCTCAGGCATGTGTAAGACATACTACAGAGCAATCTTCTTCACTCAAGACATAAATGTAAAACCCAATAACTAATAAATGTAAAATAATAAAGAAATTATAGCTGTTGGAAGCTAATCTGTTCACTTCAAAAACACAAAATCTTACCGAGTAATTTTGGTCTCGTTTTTAGTGCAGATATCTTAGTTACACTTGAAACAAGATGAAACCAGCTCACAATTAGCTTTTTAGCGAGATATAAGATATAAATCTGCCAGGTTAACTAGTACTTTTTCATCAATATTAATAGAATTGTAGACTTAAAACAATCTCATATGTTTCTCAAAATCTGCTTAGTTTTGTAAGAGTTTGTGTTTTGGCGGTGTTGCCAAATGTTGAGTGATCAGAGTAAACAAAAAAAAAATTAAGCCACACTCTTCAGATTTTTTTAATAAAAACTAATTTAAAAAAGTGTAATTTTCCAGCTAAGTGATTTTTGTCCACTATTTTGTTTGGTGCATCACATCACAAAACTGACATCTATGGTTGCAATGTGACAGAAGGTGGAAAACGATGACACGGGATGTGAATGGTTTTACAGTTGCTTCTCTCCAGCTGTCATCTCAGAGATGCTTCTGTCATGTTCCTGCAGACCTCCTCCATCATTCTGCTGCAGCTGCTTCTCTGTCCCTCTCTCTCTGTGTCTGCAGAGGCTGGAATCATAAGCTTTGGGGATGTTTGGGAGGGGTGAGGGGGGCTCCCTGTTCATTTAGACTGCTCCACATCGGAGGCACAGCATGATCTCTCTCCTCTCCGTCTCTTTGTTTAGAAAGAGCAGCGCGGGGGACGGGCCCAGAGAAGGAGAGCTGGAGGACCTCCACGAGGATGAGCCTTTCTCTTGAGGCACGACGGGAAGCCGAGCTTTCTGCTTTGACCACTGTGCGCTCATGCCTTCACCCAGCTCCAACCAGTGCCACAGTAAACCATGTCCATAAACGGATCTGTAAATGTGAAATATCGCTCGCGGATGCTAACGCTAACTCGGCTCGATTCTTAGAAAATCCTTCCTTTTCTTCTGTTCTTTCTGGATTTCTGAGCTCAGCAGCTTACAGGTGACACACCACTTGGTTTGCACACTAAAGTAAAAAAAAAAAAAAAGGAAATCTTTCTTTTTTTTAATTTCCATGCATGCTCATTATCAGATCACCTACAGGATCTAATCAACAGTTTCTCTCTGACTCTCGCATGTTAACCACACTGGATCGTCTCTTCAGTGAACTACAGGGCTTCTGACTGCTGATCAGTCTTTTTAATATCAGAGGCTGATTCCTTGTTCCTGTCGCAGCCCTTTGTTGTTTTTTTCTCACACCGGTGCCGTCGGTAACGTTTACGAAAAAGGCAGTATGAAAAGCCTCCGTGCTGCCTTCATGGACCAGCTCTACGACAGACGGCGGGCAGAAAGCACGCTGGCTTTGCTATGCATGCACACGTTTTGAATGGCACTGCCCCCTGCTGTCTGACATGAAGTGACTCCAGTGTTTGGCAGGTTAGTTCACGCTTCTGCTCCTACTCTGCGATTATCACTGCTGTCAAACACAATCTCTGCTTTTATGTAAATAACAGAGAGGACGTTTTAAAATGCGGCATCCTCAACGGTGGATAGAAACGGAGACGAGAACTCCTGCAGTGTTATCAAAACTGTAAATATACGATACGTATATATGGAAATTTGTTTGTTTTTGCTCAGGATTTTTTTTTTCTCACTGGACATTTCAGTGAAGGGCATTTTTTTAAGGTTAGTTTTAAAAAAAAGGGAAGCAAGTCACCTTCAGGTCCAACAGTTTGTATGCAAATGGTTTAACATGTGCCAGTTCATTAGGATTATTTTCTGTATTTGCTAAGAAAAAAAAGAAAAACAAAAAAATGATCTGTTCACGCATCACCACATTATTCTGAGGTACAGAGAAAAATGTATTGCTTTGCCATTTTCAAAAACTGTTCCTTTACTGAACTGCTTGGCTGACCTTTGAAAAAAAAAAAAGTCATAAACTATAACAGACAGAGTGAAGGTAGTCAGCTTTACGGCCTCATAAACCATGGCAGAAGAGGAAATTACAGATTTATTTCTAAAGTTCACAGCTTCTCAAGATAGTTGGCACCGATTCAGAAACCGACACTTGTAGTTTACTTAGGCTGCGTTTACACTGCAGCCTGAAGTGACCCAATTCCGATTTTTATTTTTTATTTTGACGTAATGCGACCTGTATCCGATCTTTTCATGGCAGTGTGAACAGCACAGGTCAGATTCTTTTCGAATGCGACCCATATCCGACTCGTATCAGATTCAAATGCGACCTAACCTTCAGGTCACATTCATCCGAACTGAACGTCACTGAAAATCTCACTATTCTGCGTCCTGATAAGCGCAAGCAGGAAGAAAAACAATAACCATGACGGACAATATGAGAATTAAGTTGTTAATATGCTGCTCCGGCCGGACAACAACTTCAAATATGTAAGCTAAGCTCCACCGTTAGCCTCCATGTTTACTTCCGCAAACACTGAGCACTTCTTCTTTTTATGGCGGTTGGCAGAACACTTAGAACGCTGACGCTATTGCGCCCTCTACTGCGCATGCGGGACACTTTCAGGTCGTTTGCCCGTTTACAATGCAGAACGCATACAGGTCGCATTTACTGGCAGTGTGAACGGCCCCGTCAAAAAAATCCGATTTGGCAAAAAATCGGAATTGGGTCACTCAGGTTGCAGTGTGAACGCACCCTTAGTCTCTACGCACTCAGCTGTATAGTAGGGATGTCCTAATCCAATCCCTCGATCGGCTCTGAGTCCCAATCAATTTTTAAAACACCTGCCTCAGTCCCAGACTAAAATAAACCCCCAACAGCTGCTGTAGTCTTATGCTGCATCTCAGTGAGACGAATAGCTGCAATTTACAAACCCAGTTCTTAAAAAGCTTTATTTTAGTGTGAAAGCTTTGTAGGGGAAAAAAAACTGTATGTCTATGCTGTAGACATTATTTTGTTCATATAAAAAAATCAGGGTATTCTGTAACAATTGTTTTTTCCACGCTATCTTGACTTATGCTATGAAAGAGAGACTGTAATGTTTGTTGGGGTTTCCTTTGTGTTTCAGTTGTGACCCGCTCCGTCCTCCGGAGAGAGAGCAGCACAAAAAGCAGCTGAAACACCAGTTATTAAATTTTATGACATTTTAAAAAATGGGTTTATAAAGCAGGACAATTGTTTCTCAAAGTTTTGGCTGCAGATAATCAACCAGAAAAGCATTGAAATATGTTACTAGACAAACCGTATCAAGCATGCTAGCGTTAGCCTAGCTCTTGAGCTAATTGCTCCACAGGGCAACACCGTCTGCAGGAGCAAGACAGGCGACTATTGTGGAATCTACATGCATTTGAGTCGGATACATTTCTTAGTAGCAAATGATAAATACTTACACATCTTAGGTGATTCTTTGTCGGATGATTTTAGTAGCCTTTCGGAACCAAGCTAACCACGTTGGAGCAGCATATTGAGACTGGGATAATATTTCAGTTGCTGTGAATCAAAACAGATTCACAGTCGATTTTTAAATGACTCATCAGTTTCTGGGACAACAGATCCACATGGAGACATCCCTCTTGCATCGTTTGGGTATTTGTCTCATTTTCACTGGACAGATTTTAAGCAGTTCAATATGAGAATAAAACAGACCAAACCATCTAATATCCAGTGCAGCCCTTCACGTTCCTCTATCTTGACCTCAGAAATCTGCATTAATGAAACACAGAAAGTGATTTCTGTAGTTTTATGCTCGAGGGTTTACACAGATTTTAAAGTCACTCCACTTTATCACCAAGTGGGTCATGGAGAATGTATAATACGTTTGCAGTTTTGACCTTTGAGTTTGTGCGACTGCTTGCAAGGTGACCTCTAAAGAAGGGCTCTTGAAACCAAAAAGTATGACCAGCTGTGATGTATTTGCTTGTATTTATTTGCTTTCAAGACTCGCATCATCCTTTTATATTTTGTACATTTCTCTAAATCTACAGTAGTGTGTTTCTGTGCAGACGGCTGTGAAATTGTCCACACATTTTTGACTTGTTGCACTGCCAGAGATCACTCGTGTTGCTTTCTCTTAAATCTATCTTTTAGCACAACGGAAACACGGCTCACATTGAAATGAAACGATTGCACTTTGAAACACACAGCTTCGTCTGCAGGACGCCATTATGTACAGTTGCCATTATGTACAGTTTCTGAGCTGATGGTTCACCTGTAAAAGACCACATTTACTGTGCTTTTCTTTTTTCTGCGATCAGTCTGCATGTCGCAACTATGTCATCTGCTGTTTGAGGAAAATTTAGCAAGCTGCTTTTTCTTTGTATAAAAACGACGTGGAGCAGAAACACTGCATTTTAACTGCCGTTTTTGATGTGTATGTTCATATTAGGGAAAAATGTGAATGTTGTACAACAAGGGCAAACTTTTATTTATTTTTATTTTTTTGTCTTTTCTGCTGAAATGATGTAAATTAAAACATCGAGCAGGGTGCAGAGTACAGGAGCAGCCAGAGGGGGCAGCATTGAGTTTGGGAATCTTCTATGATTGAATCCAAATACAGCATTTTTTTAAACATGACTCCGAGATGTACTGCTTCATTTATTTCACCTCCTGCATTGGTTCTTCCTTGTTCACGAGTAGGAAACCAAAAAGTAATTCTTCTCGGCGTACAGATTTAATCCGTCTGGAGGCTTTTGCACTTCTAAAATGTGTTTAGAATTCGTTTCTAACCTTAAGGGAATAGTTCTGGATTTTCTTTTAAGTGTAATTAGACTGGAACATTCCAAGCAGTTATTTCTTACCAGTAGGTAACTTTAACTAATGTCATCCTTTTACCACCAATACAAATTAGTTTGTTTTGGACTTAATCCAAGGGGAGTCGAGCCAAATCTACCATCTAAAAACAACTTGAGTGTTAAAGGTGTCAGGAGAACACCATTTTAAAACAATGAAAACCATGACTCCTTTTATTTACACAGAAGCTGAGTATTTACACAAGATTTCGAGATGGAAGGCAGTGTGGCCTCAACAATTTTCCTGTATTAAACACAAACTCAGAGTGGAAGATGTAAAAATCAAGAAAATCTTCATGTGAAGCACAATAAAACTTTACCCTTTTCAATAAATTTACCTTTATTTCAATGATGCTTTATGGGGTTCCTTCTCAGGACTTGTTCACACAGGAAGACCATTGGTGGCACACAGACTCAAAAAATCTATTTCCTGTGGAATTATTAGTATTATTAATTTCTAATAATACAAACCGGGGAAGTTTGGGAACTCGGGTGTTTATCTTAAATGAATAGCTTTTTAAAAATATATATTATATAAAGCCGTTAACAGTAAGGGAACTGTTAACAGTTCTATCTCTATCCATAATAGAGATAGATTTATCTCTATTAAATCTATTAATAGAGATAACAGATTTCTCTCTATTATGGATAGAGATAAATCCATAATAGAGAGAAATTGAGTTGTTTTATGTTGCTGCATTTTCATTAAATAAGAAACACATTTAACATCACATGTGTGTTAAAAGTCCGTCTGTTCTTTTAGCACTACATTACCCATGATGCATCTGTTCGTTTTTGTAGTTCGAATTTCACGTAGATGAGCAAGTTATTTTCTGTGCTTCTGTGAGGCTCGGTGGCATAAAATCCATCTACCATCAATCCATCCTTAATCCCGTGTGTATGAGACCTGTGTGCGTTTTAATTTTGTAAGTATACATTTTTTCTGCCAATATATTACCATTGTAGTAGCATATGAGGAAATTTGCCGTTAATTCATATTTTCTGACGGTTTTTGTCATTTGTATGTTTATTGCATTTTACCGATAATTCATGTGTGGTGTTATGGTGCCCTCTATTGGATTTCTGTGTTACTACAGGCCATTTTCATCCCGCATGTATGTGTAGCCGCTTTGCCCGCATGGCTATTAATATGCACCTTTATTGTTTCTTCTGTTTCAGATAACCACACACACACATATACATACGAAATCGAATACAACCACATCGTTCCTATCTCCACGTCATCATCTGTACCATCATCTCCCATGTACCTACTATTATTCTATCAATAAACCTAAGATTCACCGGTGGAGTTGGCCTATTCCTTCTGACCGAGGAAGATTCAATTGATGAGAAATCTGAAATTGGCGCAAGTTAGACGAACACAGTCTTCTACGAAACGTTTGTTTGCACGATAAAAAAAAAAAAAGAAAAACATGCTGTGCTGTCGTCCTCCTCCTTCTTGTTGTCTTTTCTGCCAGTGATAACATCCGGTTATTGATCACATTACTTACATGAAAAATGTTTCCAATGTAGTTTTGTGAAATACACCAATTTTTGTAATTCCAATTTGCGCAATTACATGGCTGACGGAAATGCAGCTTGTGAGACATTAAATCTGAATCGTGCTCATTCCTTTCTCACTACAAAGCGACTACGGTATGACGACAGGTAATAGAGCTGTCGCTAAAAACGTCACAGAACTTTAAGGAAAATCCAAACTGTCCCTTTAGCGTCTTTGTTTCTGTCCTGCTGTGCCTGCTCTCTGTTTGATGTCTGGTTCATATCTGAATGTGCTCACTCCAATAAATCGAAGCATGGCACATCCCTATATAGAATCCAGTCGCAATGTAAATATGTACCAATACAAACAAGCTATTTTTTTGCATGCTTTTTGTACTCAACAGTAAAAAAATAAAAATATTCTCTAAACACCCGAATGTTTGCCTGTTGCCGTTTGAGGGAAGAAAAAAAAAAAAAAAAAAGAAAAGCACGACGGTTGGAGAACTTGTTTGATTTAGTTCAACTCTTTGTCACATGTGTGCACATGGGAAGGATCGGCAAATGCAAACACAAGTTTGGTCTGTTTTTATTTGGAGTGACTGGGACTCTGACGGAGGTGATGAACGATTTGTCCACACACAGAACACCAACGTGCCACATCGTCTTCTCTCAACCGTTCGTTTGCAGACATGGTTCAAGTTGTGGAGGTTACACCCTTCTTGGGAACAACAAACACCCAAAAGACAAAACAGATGGCTCGACATTAAACGGTAATGATCACAGTCAGTCATGTTGGCTTTTTGAGTGAGAGGAGGTCCCTGGTTGAAGATGCTGCTGAGGATCAGAGAGAAATGATGTCCTTTCTTTTCTCAGGGGTCCATCCATAGTTGGTGTGCGTGAGTTGTCCTCCGTTTCCCATGACGTCGTTTCTGTGCAGTTCACTTTATGAAGCAGCTTGTGCGTTACCCTCTTTGCTCCCAGATCACTTCTGCAAGAGAATGGAAAGTGAAAGACCTCAGCGATCAACAAAGCTTTATTTGCCCCTGCGGTCTACAATCCTCATTTTAGATACCTCAGTCTCTGTGGATCCTGCCTCTGGATCAGGATCCTGCTGGACAAAAGCCAAACCATAGAACAAGGAACCATTTAGATCTCTACTGTGAGCCTCGTCATTGCTACCTTCATAGAATACATCTGGAAATCAACAGAATTGGCTCTGACGTCCTGGTTTCACCTTGCACTCACGTTGGGCTCGTCTTTGTCTTGGGCTCGTCTTGAATTTGCTTCAAGGGTTTTATAGGCGTTAGAGTCTAAATCGATAGACTCACTGTCCTGCTGCAAATAAAAAACGACTTGCCTGTTTTAGTGGTGCGATTTCAGGGTGGAGGACAGTTTTATACTGTTGGTGAGACTTTTGGATGGGTGGCAGAGGAGAGTTCTTAAGGTGGGATCAAGCTTGGGGACAGTGGACGGTTGTAAGGGGGAAGACTGAGGGGTAGGCGAGGTTTTCATGCGAGTACCATGTCTGATAACTGGTTGTGCTTTATATAACACATGTGGCTCTCTAGCTCTAGTGGTCTCCAATGTTAAGAACAAACAGCAATAATCTGTTGCCCTTAATATGACAGATGGATACATGACATGACCATAGTAGAATATTTGCTCCCCTTTTGGTGGTAAAAAAAAACAACAAAAAAAAAACAATCCCTGACATGGATTCTACAAAACCCCTAAAGGTGCACTGTGATATCTACACAGCTGCAAGCAGTGGATTCAACTACCAACAATCTCACATACCGTCGATTGGGTTGACATTTGTGGATCTGACTACTCAGCCAAGTCAACATCTCAAACCATTTTTGCTTTGCAGCAAAGAAGAAATGCACTGCTCCCAGTCAAAAACAACCAATCAGGAGGAGGGTCTTAGCGCTGTCATTCATCCTTGTGTTTTCACATCTCGATGGCAGAGAAACAACTTACTAGCTTGGGTTAGTTAGCATAGCTATTGGGAAGAAGCTGTAGTGTAGCATGGAGCAAGGGAGACTGGGGAAGAGAAGTTGTGAGCAGTTCCTATGCAATGATTGACAGCGCTAAGCGCCTCCTCCTGGCTCCGATTGGTTGTTTCAAGTTGGCACTGGGAAAAGGCAGAGGAGCTCAAATTTTTTTTCACAGATTATCACTCCCATCTCATACTGTCATGACAGTATTAACCAATATGTACAGAATATCTTTTATAAAAGTTGCATACTGTAGCTTTAATCTATGTCTGATTGATTCCATCCACTTACAGGAGCCATAAAAAGAGCTCATCAGGGTTCATCTCAGTGGTCATAATGTTATGCTTGATCGGTGTAATGTGACACTCAACAGCCAAAAGGTGAAAGGTGATGGGTGATGTTGGGAATTAATAATTCTGTGTTTTCCTCCATCTCTTTTAGCTGTTTGCATGCTTGTTCAAACACACACACACACACACACACACACACACACACACACACACACACACACAGAGCTAAGGTTAAGGGAAATGACACACTAGGGTCCGCCCTCTTTAGAGCGTAACTTAGATGGAGGCCTACAAAAGGAATTAGTAGTTAGGTGCCATTTTGCTGTGTTCTCCCAAAAGGAAAGCGTGACAACGGGCCAGCGCTGCAGTTTAGTCTTAATAAAGTGAATTCATGAATTCAACTCACTGACTCTTCTTGAACCTCAAACATTACGAACCTAGCTGAAGAAAGGATAGTCTCCGACAGCGAAGAGAGTTAGCGGTTAGAACTTCCCAACAAGGGCTGGCGTTAGTAACAGACTCTCTGCTGCCATCCTGTGTTTGAAATAAAGAAACACAACTTACCTGTGTTTGTGTGTCTGTGTATTTGAACTTCATGTTCTTATAAAACTCCCTTTTTGGCAGCAAATAAAGCAATACCAAGTCACAAACGACGGTTGCCTGCAGATAAAGAGGAAAAAATTAAATATTTTTTAGATTGTGAGTGATGGATGCTCTATTAATGTGGAATATAATCCAAGCAGCAACATACCACTCCGAAAATCCCCACGCCTGAGCCTATTGCTGTGAGTGTTGGGATTATGTCAAATTTTCTTGCCTTTAAAGGACACAGCTCAAGTCATACAAAGCTCACTTTTTTATTATGTATTAATTAATGCTAAATTCATACCAATGAAAAATAAATATTTATTTTACTCACCAGTGACTTCACAATGACATCAAACCTGATGCCAAAAACTTTAAGGAGGGTTCTCTTGGGAATTTTATCCTCCATATAATACTTTGCATACCTGTAAACGATCACAAGGACTGTCAGAATAAGACCTCACTGCTTCTACTTCATCTCATAGGCGTCGACAGAAAAATATAAGGAGGCATAAGTGGGACCCTGTCAACCAATAACCACCTTAATAGAGAGTGAGAGAAACCACAGAACAAACTGAAGCATTCTACATGAATAAGGAATATAAATTGACGTGTTAAAACTGCCTGAGATGAGCAAATATAATAAAGTTCAAACTAAACACACCTGAGGCAGGATAACATAAGGAGCAAACAATGACTTGAGTCCAGTCAATAAAATGAGCAGTTGGTGATGGAAAAACAAGGTTCATCTAATTAAATAGTTGAAATAAACCTCCCCTTTCTTCCAAGAATAAAATAAAAATCCTACAACCTACCAGACAACAGGTAAATATCAGTTTTATATCGATACATATTAAAAATTACGTCATTGCTGAGTTGACTTCTTTAAACTGGCTTGAGTTTCTAACATAAGCTTGGTTAGCGTTACTGTCTGTTCCCCAGAGAATCCTGGCCCTAACTCTGGGATTAAAAAAAGTTGCCACCATTTCTAAATCCAGGATGTTCCATAAATAACAGAGGAATCAGAAAATAAGTTTTGTCTGTTTAACCTTCCTGTTATCTGCTGAAAGTAGCTTTAGATTTAGTTTCATAATAGATCCACACTTTAAACTTCTTCACAGTGTTTTCCCTGACCTGCCACTTGTGTTCCTTAGTCTTCACGATGCCGTTTATTGACTAATGTAACAAGCTATTTATTTTTGCCGTGTCAGGATAAATGAAGGGAAATACAAAACGCCTACTAAATAAAATCACCTCAAAATGACTAAGTAATTCACTGCAGTTTGAGGATCTAACTTAAAAAATGTGGAAAAAGTTTAAGACCTGTGAAAGGTGCTGCGTAAGCAATTGCACAGACTTCATTATTGTTTTTAAATATCAAAAATGCACATCTCTACATGAAATAACGGTCATCTGAAGTCTCCAAAACTGACATAAATTTGCTACTAGGTGTACTCCGTCACCTGAAGTTATACCCAACCGACGCCCTGGCGTCATCAGTCTCACTTGGGTTTCCATAGAGACCGTGAAAGTTGTACTCTGGCTTACAGTGTTTCACATCGACGTCGAAGTTACATGTCCAGTCAACAACAATGCCAATAGCCCCTCCCTGTCAAGCAGACAAAAAACGCAAACATCCATAATCAGACAATACATCTGCAGCTGTGATTTCACCAAACATAAACCTGCTTCACCACAACTGAATATCGATTTAAAGAACAGAGACTTCGCTGGAAACTTACCTCTTGGGCTAATTTTTCAAAGCTGAAGCCGGACAGTTTCACTATATCTCCCAGTTTGAATATTGGACAGAGCGGTTCTTCCTTTGGATCGAAAAGGCATTTGCCGATGTAGTTCTTATCGATTCCCTCCACCAAGTTACTCCTGCGAACAGTTCAAGCATCAGTAAAAACAGCTTCTCATGAAAGCCACTTCAGCTTTCATGCATTCATGAACTGAAAACGTTTTATAATTACAGTAATTTCACAGAATTTAGCCACTAATGAACTATTCATACGTTTAACAGAGCTATATTAGGATTTTTCAATAGCGGTACATAATAAGCCTGTTGATTATTAATATTGAATTATGAGCAAGTTTTGTTGTCTAGTTTTCATTTGGTGTGATCCATCACCTGGTGACGCCAAATAAAGGGAAAGTTACAGAGTTTTTGATGAAAAGCGTGTAGTTTTCTGCGGACATCAGAAGAGGAGGACTGGAAAAGAAAAAGAAAATGAAATCAGATAGTGTTTCTGCTGTTTTTATGTGTTGTAAGATACATGTCATAAGATAATCAGGGTACAAGCAGAATCTGTGCCTGTTTCACAAACTGAATCAGGGATCATAACTCATACTTGGCTTCAAACATTAGCTGAGTAGACTGATATGTTCATAATTAAATTAAATATTTGCTTTATACTGACCCTGCTTTTACAGTTTGCAGCGTTGTAAACACGATGATGTCGGCAGCAGCCGCACGATTTCGGCCTGCTGTGTAATATCACATTGGATTTTGTTTCAGCTACAAAACTGTTTGATAATTACACTAATCTAATTATAAAACCAAGTGATGAAGCATCTAAACCAAGTGAATCTTAAGATGGCTACACGCGTCGAGGTGACTTTTACCGTAGGACCAACGTCAGGAAGCAAATAGTTACAAAGTGGAAGAAAAAAAATGATTTCTAGAATTTCTTTTACAAAAAATAAAGTGTGTATTTGTATTTTATTTTGAAATTAGGCCTGGAGAAAAGGTGGGCTTAAGACAAATGTACACCACAACTTACTTGCAGGATTCATTTTTTCTCAATTTCTGGATCTCGATCGTTTCACAGGTTGCCTATCTCACACTGGACTGTCAAGACGGTTTTAACAAATATAGAAAGAGCACATTTTCCCAAAAGTTACATAAGGCACCTTTTATCTCAGATACCTTTATGCAAGTGCTCTGTATGCGCTGATAAAGATTTCCTCATCTCAAGAAGTAAAACTGGAAGTAAAACCTACTTCTTATATAATCTGGCTTTACTTTCATACATTTGAAATACAAACAATACATTTTTGCCTATAGGAAGGTAGGAAACAATGTGACAACAGCTTAGGGCTCAAAAAAATGACATCTAGTTGCTAACCTTCCATTAGTTTTTGCATGAAATATCCAAGAAAAATATCTCATACTTTAAAACCATAAATGGTGGATTATGTATTGTTGTTTATGATTCTTCTGGAGTAACACAGTAAGTCATTTGCTTGGTCAGACTTGTGATTTGAACAAAGAGTCGAAACATTTATGTTTTTGGTAGCTTTCTGCTTGGACCCTGGCAAGCTGAAGAATTTCGACATCCCACGTACTTCGGAACATTGCGGTCGTCCTCAACTGGACACCATGCCAGCACCTCACAGGTTTGTGTTTTGTTGACACAGACTCCAGTCGTTTGTCCTTAAAATGGGAACATGTAAAACCTCATCATCAAGACAGAATTTCAAATCGGAACAAGAATGGGGCAAAAAGTGCACCACACGCTCCGAGAGGCAGCATCTGACAGAAACGGATGTCGCTTTTAACATTAAAGCGTTTTAAAAACGTCCTCTGCCTCCCCTCTTCTCCTTATCTCTGATTAACATCAGCAGCGGCAAGGCGGGATATAAAAGTGAAGCAGAGCAAATGCTGAAATAGATGTTTTTCTTTATCTTGCCCCTGATTCTGATATATACATGTAATTTCTGTGCACGCGACTGGCTTCGCGGCAATCTCGTCCTCTCATCGGGAGAAACGTGCAGACATTTCACCGGCAGGCACGCAGGCAGCAGTCGCTGACCTTTCGCTGAAACCCACCGACCTGTTTGGCCGTGGCGGGCCGTTCCCGCAAGCTTACATTTCCACCAACCTGCCGCCTCTACAGGAACTCTGCCACCTCAGGGTGAATTTGACGGGTCTGAAGAGGACAGATCTGAAGCTTTGCTCTTACTGAAGCCGATGTGGGACGAGGAGAAATAAAATGCCGGAGACTGACAAAGAAGAATACGTTTACGTAACTGTTGTTTGGACCCATCAACAGCGCTCTCATGTTCTGTCCCGTTGCAATGAGACAGCTCAGACGCACAGAATTAATCTGGTGTCTGTTTGCTTTAGGGTTTTAGGTCACAATACAAGCAAATACACCAAATGTTTGGCTGCTAAGGCTGGGAGTGTTGGTTTCAACCCCATGGTTTACTACATGACGATGTAGTAAACTCTGGTACTGAAATAAAAGGATTCAATCAAATATGAGTAAAAGTTGCCTGGTCCAAAGTTGACTCAAGTTAAATTACGTACTTTTGAAAATACTCAAGTATTCAAAAGTACAATTTATAGCACAAAGCTGTAATGGCGTTATGCGCTTGAAGTTTTTACCACATGTAAAAACATGGGCATAAAATTGCAATTAGAAAGACGACTATTTTCTTTTTTATTGTTATTGTTATGTAAAATGTTCTCTGTTTTTTTTTGGTGTTTTTGTTTTTTCATTTTTCATTAAAACTACGAAATGTAATCGATGCCTTTGCCTGCTGCATTTCGCTCCTCCACCACAACCTACAACATGACAAGGAAACGGCAACAATGGTAACGTTAAGTAATGCCATACGTAATTCAGAAACTTACGAACATCAAACACGGAGCTAAGACATGACTTTGAAATGTAGTGGAGTGAAAGTCAAAAGTATCCCAACGAAAAAATACCCAAGTAAAGTAAAGATGCACAAGAACTGTACAGTGCTCAAGTAAATATAGTCAGTTACTGTCCATCGTTGCCCAGGACCAAAAGCAATCTACGATTTCCATATAAATGTTTGTCTCAGTAGTGAGCTGCGACTCTGCTTCTGGCAGTTCCTGGAAACCCCTTCGCAAATACTCAGCGGACATCAGACTTTGCCGTCCTCAAAGGACCACTAAGGACCATCAAAACGTGATACTGTTAGGCCACAGAGGCTTGGTTGGAGCTCCACATAGACGGTAACTCAGACTTTACCATGTCCCGTACGTTTGAAACTCCCTCCTACGCAGTCGGCGTCTGATGTGCAGTTGTGCTTGCCTGTAAGCTGTAAGAGGACAAGAGAATGGGGTCAGTTTGCATACAACATGTTGGAATGTAAACAGCCAATGAAGAAGAGAACAGAGCAACACCATTGGGTTAAAATGATCTCCCCGTACTGTGCGGCCTGTTAGTGTCGCGTCATACTGAAGCCATTAGGTTTACATGGGTATTTCCTGCTACACAACAACACAAATGACCGATTACAGAAACAGTCTTGGAATGAGACACTATTCATGCTTTCTTTTACTATTTATGGAAGTGTGTAAGAAGGACCAAAGGCGACGGGTGGGACAGCAGCAAGAAAGAAGGGAGGCTTAGCATGTACCTCTGGGCATTTTCCCATCTTCTGACCTTCGGTAATGATGAAGTTAGTCATCACTACGAAAGACGAGTCGCCCTGAAAGTTCAAAAAGAGTTACAAAACATAAATAAAATGTTTTATGTGAAGGTATATCTGCCAGTTTTCTACAAGCCACATAGGAGAAACAGCAAACATGTAAGGGAAGAACATGATCTGGTCATATGGGAGACATTTGCAAATATGGGCTAAAATCTCAGCTTGTAAATGTGCAAAGCTAGTAAAAACACACTAAAGCACTTTCAGCTGTAATTGCCTCAAAGTATGGTGTATGAAGTATTGACTCGAGGGCACATGCATGTCAAATCCATGCCACACTTTTCAGATTTCGAGAAAAGACTCTAAATCATGTGATCTTTTCAGTCCACTTGACTTCTAGTGCTTGTTTTTCTTTGTATTAAATGAGGAGATTTTCAGCTAGGTCCAACACAAAGATTGTAAACCTAAACGAACTTGACAGATCTTCATCTCACATCTTTTTGATAAATTTGACAGTTGGACATTTTTCTGAATACTTTCAAACAATATTCAAAACAACTTCAGGCTACAATGGACACAAGGAGCTTACACCGTCTCCAGCTGATGTTACACTGGACAAATAATCTCCTACTCAACAGACTGTGCTCTTGAAATCAGCCAAATGTTTATGATTACGAAACTGATTGTGAAACTGGAACTTGTAAACACGAATGAATTCAGTTTCCTGTTTGGATCGTATGCAGCAGACCTTGAAGAAAATCACTGTGGACGTTCTTCCTCTTACTGTGAGATCTGAACGGAAACATTCGTGATGAAGTGCTAAGAAACCACATGGCAAAACTCTCCCCCCTATCCCCAGTATTCAGCGCTTGACATCACAAAGGGGCAAATTTGGTATGTTTGGTGGGTGCTGAGTCGGTGCTGAGAGATAAAGTAGAGAGCCAAATGGGAACACAACGAGGGAGTGACCAGCAAACACACTGAACCAATAAACTGTGTCCATTCAGATTAACCAATCAGTGGCATGGCAAACTTTTTATCCATCCATTTTCTGTACACCCTTGTCCCTAGTGGGGTCCAGAGTCATGCTGGTGCCTATCTCCTGCAAAAGTTTCGAGCGAGAGGCGGATGCAAACTTTTAAAAATGTATTTCTTTTAGTATGTTGTTCTGTTCTCTTAAATGCTACAATTTGTTTAATAATTTTTGCTACTTGATGCGGTTTCTATTTTTATTTTCAGGTTGTGACTGTTTTTTTTTTCCATCCAAAAAGAAAAAAAAAATGCAGTATTTGTAAGGAAGACTCTGTGATTGGCTGGCGGTGTGGTTCAGTTGCATACACTCAAGTTGCAAACGCAGACATCAGGCGCAGAGCAAGAGTGCATGAGAGTAGAGCGCCTGTCAGAACTACTGTGCAAGAGTGTGTGAGATTTAAAAGTTAACACCATAAATTGTTGTTTGTTCACATCGATATGTGCGCTCATGTCACGCTCAGGCTGGTGGCACAAGTAGTGTTTTTGAGTAAAACTGTGGTAACTGGAGGGTGTCGAAACACTCATGTAACCAAACATGGATCGAGTTGAAAACAAACAAAAAAATGCAAAAATGCAGCTGGATTTATTTTATACACACTAATAAAGTAATCTGCCAGAAAGATTTTTGCAACATATCAAAAATTTGACACTGAAGACCAGAGGAACACGTATGCTTAGATACATAAGTGGGTGTGTGGGTGTTGTGGCGTGTGTTGTCCCGCCACAACACCCACACCCACGTATTTTTGCGTGGCTATCTTTGTGGGGACTTTCCATTGACTTCAATTCATTTCTGCATTCTAAATCTCACTCTTACCCTAACCCTAACGGAAACTCAATTCACACCTTAAATCTCACCCCTGACCCAAGAACAGCATTTCCCCTTGTGTGGTCCAGGCTTCTGTCCCCACAAGGAGCAGCGGGTCCCCACAGCGTTGTATGTGTCAGGAAAATAGTTCCCACAAAATATCACAAACAAACATGCACGCATACACACACACACACACACACACACACACACACACACACACACCATCTAAGCTAACTGGTGTTTCTCTCCATTCTAGTCTTTGATAAGGTGTCTTTCTAGCAATTTGACATAACGGACTTCATCTCTTTCTGAACCTCTCTTCTGAATGAATCAAACATTTCCTTAAAGTTTATATAAATATTTAGAAAATTCAAGTTATACCTCAAAAAGAAATAGTTTTCCTTTCAGAGAGAGAAAGAGAAAGAGACAGAGAATCATTGTCAGATGTTTTTGATAGAGTTGAGTCTTTGAGCAGTTTGAGAACCTGAGCACTCATTCTTAGTACAATTCAAATTCACCCTATTTGTTTATGTTTGTTTGTTTTCTTTGCTCATATTTTAATAGAAACACCGTAAATGTAGATTTATATACAAAAACGTTAAGTGACTAGATTCAACATAACCTTTCAATCAATAGCCAAAGCCCCTCATGATCCACCATTTTGGAGACCTTATGTAGTCCTTAGCTACATACGTGTGCTGAGTCTCACTGAGACTCAGCACACTATAGATACTATCTATCTATAGTAACTTTTGCAACTATCATTGTATTGCTTAGATTTATTCTAAAGATGATTTCAAGATCTCACAGTTGTTGCTTTGTGATCCCCAGTTGGTCCTGACTCCAGGAATTGATCAGAGAATTTGTTGATGTTAACAGTTTCTAATTCAAACCGTGCTATTCTAATTACCAGTGTAAAACCAGAGTTTAAAATTTTAAATCCGAAATCAATTTCTGACTTCCTATTAAAAATAGCGGCGAAACTTTTTTTCATATAGAGCCCTCTGTCACACACAGTGTGACGTCGCCTCTAATCCTCACAAAAGGTCAAAGCTTTGTAAAGGATTAGAAATTAGCCATAAAATTCTAAACTTTGCAACTCCAGTTTATTGTAACCCAAAGAATGACTATGTAAGAGCTCTTTTTTCCACACGTCACACTGGAAATTGATTCCTACTTGATCATACAAGAGACAAAGATCTTTTCATCAAAAGTTGGTAGCATGTCGTTTGTGTGATACTTTTAAAAAACGTCCACACCCAAAACTCAAACCAAGCAACCTTTATGAAGTCTTTATGTCTCTTTCCCACAGGCTATAATCCTGGGTTAGGTTTTAGGTCAACAAATGTAATTAACCGCAGTTTAACTTTCGATTTGTTGTGTACTTAGCTTATGCATGCAATAGACAAACTTCTTAGACTGGGTGAGTACTAAATTTAAAGAGCCACTATTTTATTTGCGTATCATTTCAGTGTGTTCAAAGACAGATAGCAGAAATTTAAGCTGTTGTTTTGACAGTTTGTATGACTTAAATGTTGTCATGCCTTAACTGATGTGCAGTTTCCTTTTGAAAGCAAAGAGTTGTGACATTTATTGTCTGTGTCAGGCTGACTTTTCATCTGTGTGACAGTTTGGTTTATGAAATGTAGATGCTGACTTCATCCCCTTCTGAGTGACTGTCCAAACGATGCTCCCTGAGTTGTTCCAGGTTTAAAGCACATAGTGGAGCTGTTTGGATAACTGGATCAGGCAGTTATCCAAACCGCAGTTATCATTGACCCAGCCAGGCTTCGGCTGACCGCTTACTGACCTGAGAAGGGAAGACGTAGTCGGCCACGTCCCAGACGGTCTCACTCCCGCTCACATTAGTGTAGCCCACTCCCTTCATTTTGGTGAACACGGAGCTCACCGCCGTGTCTGTGGACTGGTAGCCTTTCTCATAGATGAAGACCCACCTGTGAAAGACACATCAGTCCTGTCAGCACCTCAATCACTTTACAGCGCAACCCGTCCAACCAAAACCCAACAGCAAGGTTATATACATGAGTGACTGAAGCATGACGCTCTGCACAGCTGGCAGCGTGTCTGACAGGGGACACGTGTGCAGCTCACTGTGGGTCTGCTCGTCCTCCCCACCGAAAAGGACAAATCTGACAGGCTGTTTCTCAAAATGCAGACATCTACTACCTTCAGTTTATGATTTAAAAGAAGAAGAAGCATAAAGCGTTCCAGGAAGCTGTTGAGAGAGTACAAGTGGTTCATGCAGAAAGTGCACTTTATCTCTGCAGAGATCAGAAATGAGACCATGCACATAACTGCATGTGGACACAAGTGAAAACACAGATAGCATCTCAGATGTAAAGATGCAAGAGTGCATTTTGGAAGATAGCTTACACGTGTAAAAGAAAATTAATGAATTATTTGAACAATAAAGTAAATGTGCTTTCAGTATGTTTTTGTTTTTTTTTGTTTAATTTTGCCTCATAATGGACCAAGTGAACCTTGGAAAGTTAGATGGCAACCCTTGTTTAATTTAATCAAGCTAATTAGATTAAATGTCAAGTCACTTTGGGTAAGATTATCTGCTGAAAACATATGTCTAGATTGCACATTATGTTAAAAAAATGTCATGTAATGCCTTACTCTGATTTTCTGTAAAGAAAAAAGCACAACAATGCTTTAAGAGGTCACAGTTTAGTCCTTGTAAGGTCGGGGCTGTTTTGGAGTTTGATTGATTGATTCTAGTTTCATTGTTGTTCTATGTTCCTTTGTCTCTTTCTTTCATTTGATAAGGCTTGTTTCTGTTTTACGTTAGTCAGGCCTTACTAAGTGATTCTGGTGGGAGCCACATTGTACTGAATACCGCCACTGCACACAGAGCTTGCCCAAACAGCAATAGGCCAAGTTGGTTTAGATACAATTTGCTATTGAACAATTACTGCCCACTTGCAGTTCTTAAGCTAGTATATTGTCCCCCTTTCTTACACAAGCTTAAACATTTCTTTAGAAAAGTTTTGGTTAAACCGACATTAAGTTGGAGAGTTACAATAGCTGAATGTTATTACACAGTTGTAGCATATAACACTACAAAAATACATTTTATTTAAAACTGCGGTATGTGACTTTTACAAAAATTAGTTTTTCCCTATATTTTATTAAAACTCTCACCATGTTGTGATAGCTAATCTGTGAAAAAATCAATTTGGTCCCGGGCTAACATTGCCGTCTGAAGATATGCGCTGCAGGACCAAAAACAACCAATCAGAGCCGGGAGGAGGGTCTTAGTCAGAGGTCAATCAGAATTATTTGATTGGCCCCCCCAGTGGCCCACCCTGATGATTGACATGTAACAGCACCAGGTCATTCCTGTACATTATTTGGAATCCTTCTAAGCCAACCTAATATCTAAAGAAAAACAATAATAAATATATGAAAAAGAAATCTGCACAGCTGCTATAAACTTATCCCATCTCTGAATAATGTTGTTTATGTCATATCCTACATGCATATCATCTAGTGGTAAAAGTAAAACAAAAAAAAACTAGTATGCTCTGGACTGAAGATGGAGTACACATATTCATGACATACTTTGATTAAATTAATAAATTAATTCCAGTACCGAAAAATTAACTTTATACCAGGCGAGAGTCTCTCACCTGAGAATGTGAACCTGTACTGGGCTGATTCTGTGCCTTCAAATAATTTTAACAGCTCCTGGAGAAGTTTCATAACTTATAAGTCTGAAACAGGAACAGGTCTGAAAAAAACTGTGCTACAGTTGAGAGAGATTCCTTTGATGTATCAAAGAGTGATGTCATCACTGCTGATGACATTGTTACCATAGGAACTGAATATTCTAATGGTGCATTCACACCAAATGCGCTTTGAGCGTCAGGCGAGTCTGGTTTACATTCAAAGTCTTATGTGGAGCGTCCAACGCCGTGCTAGACTCTCGAAACGCGCCACAACGGCCCTCAACGCGCCTCCACATAGACTTTGAATGTTAACCAGATGCGCCTGACGGTCAAAACGCGTTTGGTGTGAACTCACCATTATATGTACAGTGTCATATCAGGTCCATCATATTAGGACCAAAGCCTGGTCCTAATATGATGGATTCATTGTGAATTAAGTTTTAGTTAATGTTAGAGTTGGGGAAAATGTCTGGGTTAGGCAAAATCGCAGCTACTAAAATGAAGGGAAATGAATGCAAAGTTCTAATATGGGTCGAAATAGTTTTGACAAGCCTGTACAGAATTTTGTTTTCAAAATCATTCTATAAATAATTATATAATGTTCGGTTGTTTTTCTGCCAATTGCATAGCTGCAGCATACCAGTAGACTAATGTATTGAATGTGCTGAGACACATTCAACGCATTAGCAACCAATCAAACCAAAGGACAAACTTTTGGTTCTGATTGGTTTCTAATATGTTCAATGTGCTGAGACACATTTAACACTTTTGGTTCTGACTGGTTGTTTCTGGACAGCTGAAATTGATGCTGTGTTTTCTCCATTGATTTTAGAGTGAGGAATTTTGTGTCTGTTTTGATTTCCTAAATTTGTGTAAAGCGTTGAATTTTCATAATGCCCAGTGTTGGCAAAACCTGGGTTTGATTAGTGACCCAGGTTAGTGCCACCTGGGTGTGGGTCGGTGTAAAGGCCGAGCCGGGCATAGATTGGTCTTCATGCCAACGCCAGCATGAAGGCCCACCATGCAACCAGTGGAGTTTGGTCGCATGTATGTTTGTCTTTCCTCGGACCTCCCTGGTTGATTGGAGGTCCGTCTTTCCTCGGACCTCCCTGGTTGATTGGAGGTCC